AGACCACCTTCATTTACTTAATTTGCAAAAGCATTAAGCATTATATATATATACATTTGCCTTTGACAAGTGAAAAATTTGTATCTTGTGCTTAATGCTTTTGCAAATTAAGTATACATACATATATATGTGTGTGTGTGTGTGTGTGTTGCAAAAATAGTTGCTCAGCAATATTTTGTATGTTTATACACACACTTACACAGACAAACAGTTCTTAAAGCCGTCATCTTTGAGAGAGAGGAGAAAATCAAGCTCCACTCTGTTTTCAGATCTGAAAAAATCCACAGGTGATTCTGTCCATCCTTCCACTGTGAGAAGACAGTTCAACACTATGAGTCTAAAAGGATGTGTAGCCGTCCAGAAGCCGTGACTGAAAAAAGGAAACAGACAAAAAATTTTGCAAATCATACAAAGAAGCTGTTGGTGTCCTCAGAACAATGAACTGACCACCCCAGAGTCCAGACCTCAACATTAGTCAATGTGTTTGGGATTATGTGGATTGTGAAAAAACAGAAAATACTGTTTTATACTGAAAACTTCTAAGACTGAACTTTCGAGGTGTGGAAAAATATCTCTCCACATTTCTGTGATAAACTGAAAGCAAGTCTCCCAAAAAGAACAGAAGCTATAATAATGACAAAGAGTAGAAACACTAAATACTGACAAAAAGATGCTTCTGTGTAATTTTCAGTTAAATATATGATTTCTGCTTTTTTTGCCTGATGATGAAAAATATACATATATAGTAACTAGTAATTAATGGCCATTCTGACTGCAAATTAAATAAGTGAAGGATGGTCTCTGACTTTTGCACAGTACTGTAAATAATTATATATGTTAAGGTAACAACATACTTGGTTAGGCTGCTGTGCAGATCTTTGCCAAAAGGATAAAACAGTGATCTTCTTTAAAAGTCGTCTTTTTTGCACGGTTTCATACCATTGACAGTGTCCTGTCTATTTACATCGAGACACCTACAAAAACATTTAAGGCTATATTTGTGCCGCTGCTCAGACCTGAACATCTTTGAACTGGTCAAATGTCTTGTGACCTCCATGTGGCTCTATGTAAGCATAAAAAGGCACCATCACAGAAAACAAACAGCTCATTGCTGACATTTTTTTCTGCAGTAATTATAGCGAAAAAGAACAGTACAGACTTCAGTCTGAGTGACAAAATGAATTCAGTGTCATGTGGAAGCTATCCTAGTCAAAGTGATGTCAAATCTAGCACAACTAATGCCTTATATGGAACATTTAGTTCAGTGTTTGTCTTAACTGCAGGTAGCCTTCTCACAAGTTGACAGAGGCTTGTGAACTGGCTGGTGATGCCATTATTTTAAGAGGTTTAACTCCAGGTGTACAATGTTTCCACACAGCAAAATCCTCAGCAATAAATTAACCCCACAGTGCTGGTCTGGTCTCCAATGCAGACTGTATAGTTACACAGGTCTCCAATGTACACTGCAGATGTTGATCCTACGGTAAAAAAAAAGGTGTTTCTGTCTTCTGAAAGGTTTACGGCAGCCAAGAACATCATTCTGAAGTTCTCGCATACGTGCGGAACATTTTGAGGATGATGTCTCATGCCAGGCATCCAAAGCAGACCACAGATGATGATGCAAGGTCATGCCCTGACACCTAAAAACAATGTTTTAGTTGATGAGAAGCTAATGGAGTTAATGTAAATGGTAGCCTTGAATATTTCTAGTTCCATTCTTTATGTTAGACAATAACTGCTTATCACCAGAACACAGACTACTGAAGGAGGTGAATAAAACACCCTATGCAACTTGCAGTATATGAGTAGAATTTTTTACAGGCAATACTATTTAATTAAATTAAATGAAAAACAGGATGTATGTGTTACTCATATTTTAGGAGATATTTCTGAAGAGATTAGATGTAAGATCAAAGAGCAAAATCAAAGGAAAATATTATTTTTTTTAATAAATTAAAAAAAATAAGAGTTTCCAAAATTGGAGCCATTAAAACATACAAAATGGGACCCCTAACAACTGTGCAAGACCACCAAATCTGTCCCCATCAGATAAACTTATATCTTTGAGAGAGAGGAGAAAATCAAGCCCAATTCACAAAAAAAAGAAGAAATTAGCAAAAAAATAAGCAAAGCTGCTGTTCTCACAATGCTGGACTGACCACCTCAGGGTCCAAACCTCAACACCACTGAATGTGTTTGGGATTACTTGGATTGTGCAGAAAATGCAACCAACTTCTAAGACTGAACTTTAGTAGTGTGGAAAAATATCCCTGCAGATACTTTGAAGAATGGAAGCTGTAATGAAAGGCACACTAAACACTGAAAATGCTGATATTACATTTATTTGTAATGGCTGCTGTGTAATTTTCTGTTTAATATACGTTTTCTGATTCCTTTTCTGGTGTTAAAAATGAATAGCTTGACTAGAAAATTAAATAAATAAATGGTGGTGCTTTGTGAAACAGAGGAAAACTGAGAAAACTGATAAGGGCCCCATTTCACAGTGAAATGTAGTCTTCACCTTTAAAGTGATGTTTGCTGGACTCTTTTTGATGATGCTGATGTGTTACATTACACTGTTTCTGAACACCAGACTCCGAGGTGTACAACAGATGGTCAGTTATCTTCATCTAAAATCAGCTGATGTTTTTGAGCGATGCTGAGGCAGCACTGCATCCTCCTCAAGGATAAAATAAAAGACATTGTAAAACATACTTGATTAAAAGAATTTTGGAGAAATATTAATAATTTTAACAATATGAAAGATCCTGACTGTACACTCTTAAAAAAAGTTCTTCCAGAGTTCTTTAGTAAAGGGAATGGCTCCATATAGAACCATTTCATGTTTAAATTGTTCTTTGCATGACAAAATTGTTCTTCAGATTGAAGGAGAATGCATTGTATAGTGTTCTATATAAAACCTTTCTGAAAATGGTTCTTCAAAAAGATGGTTCTTCAAGCGTTCCTTAAGTTAGAGTTACTAACTAAAGCTATATAGCACCAAAAGGGGCTCTGCTATTGTTACAAAGTCAAGCTTATCACAATAGGAGAACCTCTTTTGGTGCTATATAGAGTCATTTAGTAACTCAAGGAACCCTTGAATACCATCTTTTTTACGAGTGTAGTTTAGAGACAGTCCTATGTTAAGGGCAGCAGACTGCGTGTCTTTCCATATGTGTCGTGTTAAACTGCATTTTGCCCTGAATTGATTCCAAGTGCGCTTCTCTAGAACCTACAGTAAAGAGATTTGCCTCAATAAAAGGGGTGAGGGAGGAGTAAGACTGAATGAAGACTGACTGACAATCTGCTGTGCACCTTAGGGTCTGGTTTTCACAAGCAATGTAATGTAATACATCAGTAACATCATCACAGTCCAACAGACACCACTTTAAAGGGGCAGACTGTAAGTTTCACTGTGAAACCGGGTTCTTTTCAGTTTTCTCCTTTTTCCCCCTCTTTGTTTCACAAATCATCCATTACAGGCATCTATAAATATTCCAGTTTTGTAAAGGTAGTGAGGTTCATGTCTTTGCTTGTAACTGAAATGAGAGTTTAATGAAGCTTGCCACCTACCTTTGCCCGTGATCTGATTAAAGAATCAATAAGATCTAAATGGAAGTCTGTGACGGTGAGACATGGTGGGGTCAGCCGCTTTCATGTTACACCCCATAGGTACATCAACAGTGACTAATGTGTCAGTTGCTGTGTTAGAACCCCTAAAGGGGAAGTCCACTAATTAAAAAAAATCTGAATAACTCAGCCATATATAAATAAGAGTGGTTTGAGGTGAAATGGTTGAGAGAATGTAGAGAAATTTACCAGCTTGAATTTTCTTTACACTGGTGGCGACAGGAAACAGGGATCATGATGTCTGCTATGCAAATATAAATGTTAATATGGAATGATGATAATGGTAAAACAGTGGTAAATGTGAATAAAATAACTTTGCCTTACAATGCCCTGCATGTACTTGTCCACTATAAATGATTTCATTAAAAAATATGTTTTAGGCCAAATCTTTATCATAAAACCATGAAATAGGGCTGGGCAATATGACAATATTTATCGTTATTGTGATAGATTATGTCATGATATGTTATAATATGCTTTTCTAAGCATATTATGGATATCATCTGTAGTTAAAAACTCTTCCCAACTGCATGTATGACTACAAAGAGAGCATGATTAGGTTTTTAAGTTGATGTTTAATTAGATTTAGTCATCGCAGTATGTGAATTATTGAATACAAATCACTGGATTCATAGTTTAAGAATATTTTATTAATGCAGCACTACTTTGTCTGCTCCAACTTATTAGATGTCAGGAAAAATAAATATTGTGACTTATTGTGTATCGTAAAAAATGTCCTGAAGTATCACGATATCACATTTTTGCCCAGCTCTATCGTAACATAATGTTTCAGACATCAGGCCATTAAATGCTTTGGACGTCTGGTTCCTATCACCACCACTGTGAACAGTTCTGACTCGGTACGTTTCTCTAGAACAGCACATTTCACATCAGATCACTCTGAGTGACCTTGTTCACAGATTAACCATTTAATTATGTAGAAAAGTTGAAAAATCAGAGGAATGCCCCTTTAATAAAGCCAGTGTATTAAAAAGTGACCACACAGTACAAACCATAGGGTCATGTAGCAGCTGACACTCTCTTACATTCATTCTTTCATCCAGCCGCATTTAATACACCTTTAATTTATCAGACGAATCAAATCTCATTTGCTTAAGAGACATCATCCTCCAGAGATGTCTTCATTTAGCCTCCAAGTCATTACGTTCAGGTCCAGGAGGAGGAGCATGACACAGGAAGAAAGCGAGGCGTTTCATTCCCGCCTGTATTGTGATGAATTCCATGCTTCGCACCAGGATTGGCTGATATTATTCTGTATCCTGCGCTACGATTGGCTGGCAGTATATTCTCGCCCTCGATCCGCCGAACTACCCAATCATAGCGCAGGAGGGGCCGGACTTGTCGGAATACGGGTGGAAAATAATTTCACAGTAAACACGAAATCTCAGCAAGTCAATACGTCGCTGACGGTCTTATGCAGCCATGCATTGGGGCAGTATGTGGCAGAAATTTCTCATTTTTTGTTTACCATTTTTAGGAAATGTGGTGGACGCCAAAGCCAAGGTCGGCCCAAAAGTAACGGATAAGGTGAGTAGCCTAGCATAGCATCTTCAGCTGAGGGGTTTTGAACGATGCTGAGGCAGCACTGCATCCTCCTCAAGGATAAAATAAAAGACATCGGAAGACATTCTCGGTTAGAAACATTTTTGGAGAAATATCAAAGATTTTAACAATATTAAAGATCCTCGCTGTATTTTAGACGTTAAGAGGAGCAGACGGCATGTCTTTCTACGTGTGTCGTGTTAAACTGCATTTTGCTCTGAATTGGTTCCCAGCGCGGTTCTGTGAAATGTGTATGGAAACCATATGTGAACCTATCCGTCCTTTAAAATGCTTAAAAGCTCTCTCACGCATGCAAATGGCAGCATTTTGCATTTTCAATGAAAAACATTTTGGCTTAGCCAGAAGATCAGACATGCACCCGGCTGTACTGTCTATTAGGGAGCGATTACCCATTAGCAGCCTAGCGGTGCCACGTGGACCCAGAGAGGAGTGTTAAAAGTCAGGTTTCTTCTGCAAATTAGGAGATAATTTGTCTCAGCTGTAGTTCTACCAGGTGGGGTGTTAATGTGCGAGGAAAAAAGCTATTATATCACATAAATATTAGACCATTATGACTGTCCAATATTGGGATGAAAATTAATATTTCCAATAATACACTGCGTACCTAAAATAAGAAAGGAATTAAGTATCTGGTATTATGTGACATCTGTTAATAATAATAATAACAATAATAATAGTGATAATAGTACTTTCAATAATATCTTTTATTTCTTAAGTAATAAAGCCATAGTGGTCTCAGGTGTTATGGAACAATGTTAGATATTTAACACACATGAGTGCCAAATGACCTTTTACTTCCAATTTCATACATTTTCTTCTGTGATTTAATTAAATGAGAAGGAATAGACTATTTATAATTATCTGAAATTGGAATAATCCAGAGTTTCATAAAGTGTTCTTATTACCTTTACCTAATATATAATATCTGAACACAAGTAAAGCGTAATAACTTGCTGAAAGGACAGTACTTTGGCAGAGAGCTCAACCCCGATCTTTTACAGATAATTGCATCATTATGACTGCCTTATCTTTTATTTCACTTTGATTGATAAGGATAGTGAAGAATTTGTCATATTAGCCTACTCTGTTCTTCCTTGCCTCTCCTTGCAGGTGTTTTTTGACATCACGGTGGGAGGACATGAGGTTGGCAGGATTGTGATTGGGCTGTTTGGAGAGGTCGTCCCTCTAACTGTGAAGAACTTTGTTGCTCTTGCCACTGGAGAGGTGCCACTGCTATTTACTTTCAAGCAAATCTGTGAAAAATCACCATCACTATCATAAGGCTACACTTATTCAGTTGTTGTAAAGTTTAAAGCGATACTTTAGCAGAGAATCAAATTGACAAGGTTTTTTCTTTGCCCTAAAGGCAATCGATTAGCAAGACATGTTTGGTGCTAGAAATTAGATTCTTTCATTTTGCGCTTGCTATGAGGCTACTATTGCTAACATGTATTGAAAGCTTGTATCCAACCAGTTAGCACAGGCCTGCTTATGTAGTGTCTGACATTGGATTAAGATGTTAATCTAAATAACTGGTATATCTATAAAAATATAGAAATTTAGCTTTAAAAGTACTGTTTTTAGATATTCAGTGTACTTTAGTCCCTTGTGAGCTACATTAGTCTTGTAGCTCCAGGGCAAAATTAAAGAAGGAAACTTGAGACATCAAACATGTTTTGGCTGATTGATTATATTGGGGGTGAGGAAGACCAATAGTTTTTCACCAAACTATTGTTTTAAATAACAGCATTTGGTATTTTCATGACTTGAAATCATACTCATAATCATAAACAGACTTGCTTACAATCCTTTCTTATTGTAGAAAGGATATGGTTACAAGGGCAGCAAGTTCCATCGTGTCATCAAAGACTTCATGATTCAAGGAGGTGACTTCACAGCTGGAGACGGAACAGGAGGTAATAACTGACTTTTAAATATTTTACACTGATACCAACACCACTCATTATGGCTACAATGAATTTCTTATAAAGACTGATAAAAAAAACTCTACAGGTAAGAGCATCTATGGGAAGACATTTGCAGATGAGAACTTTAAGCTGAAGCACCAGGGCACAGGCTGGGTCAGCATGGCCAATGCAGGTCCCGACACCAACGGCTCTCAGTTCTTCATCACTTTAGCAAGGGCTCCTTGGCTGGATGGCAAGCATGTTGTCTTTGGCAAAGTCTTGGACGGCATGGTATGTCTGTATATTGTTTTCAGACTGCAAAGATTGTCAGCTTGTCAGTTGATTACTTGTTAATTGCTTTATAATGCAGGAAAAATTTAAGTGGCCAAAATCAATGCTGATAAAAGTAATAATTATGCAAAGCAATTACGCTGTATGTCTAAGCCATAATCTGCTACAAATATCAAATGTATTTGTCTTTAGTTCACAAATTGCTTCTTTCTCTCTCTCTCTCTCTCTCTCTCTCTCTCTCACTCTCTCCATCTCTCTAGACTGTGGTTCATACGATTGAGCTCCAGGACACAAATGACAGGAATGTACCCTACACAGAGTGTGTGATAGTAAACAGTGGGAGGATCGAGGTCAAAGAGCCTTTTGTTGTAGAGCTGGAGGGTTGGTAGTCTGGCAGACCAGACTGAGATCAGAGCGCAACTGATACATTGATTAGCCGCTAAAACTAGCAGATTATATTTCCACAACTGAATCGGCAGCTGATGAAACACTGTTATCGATATGGCTTGTTTAATATTAAAATGAACAAACATCTCTAACATGAGGGGAAAAACACTATTAAAAACACTATATCTTGTTCTTATACCACTCTTACACAGATTGCTAAACTGGCAGTTACCAACTACTCACCTTCATAACTACACTACAGGCTGCATTAGTAAACTTGATGTAGTTTACTAGTGTAAAAATGCATCCAGATCTACCTTTAGCATCAGGAAAACATAACACACAAATATCTTGATGTGAAGCAATAAATAGTAAATGCTAATTAACAGAAACTAATAAGACTGCTAAGAAGGCTGAGAAGCTCCACCCTGTCGCTACATTATTTATTATTTATTATTATTTATTGTGTGAGTTTATGCTGATAGTTCAGACCTGGCAGTCATATTTTACATTTCACAGTTGACAACTGGCAACCATATCAGTCAGTAAATTACTGTTTAAATATTGGAGAATTTTTGATTATATAAATTATAACGGCCGATATTATTGGTTGAACTTTTAGCACCATAAAGACAACTTGAAATCAAAATTGGCCTTTTTACTTTGTTAGGTCATGTTCCTGATCATATTAAGCACAGTTCATGATATGTAATTGTATTTAAAAGACAAAATTCTTTTCCCGCCATCTTCCTTCAAAATGTAATAACTTTAGCCCACCTATATTACATCTTCTCATTTTTGGTTACAAGACTTTGCATCAGCGTGGCAGAGAAAAATAATATTAATCAATAATATCATGTTTCGCCTCCTCCTCCCACCATCCTGAAAATGCTCAGCTAGCTCAGAGAAAATGGTTCTATATAGCACCAAAAAAGGTTCTTCTACAAGCTTGACATTGTAACACTAGCAAAACCCTTTTTTGGTGCTGTATAGAACCATTTTCAAAAAGGTTCTATATAGAACCATATACAACAGATTCTCCATCAATCTGAAGAACTATTTCACCATGCAAAACCCATCTAAGCATGAAGTGGTTCTACATAGAGCCATTGCCTTTACTAAAGAACTCTTGAAGGACCATCTTTTTTAAGAGTGTAGTCTAAGTCTAATACACCTGATCAAAGCAATTAATGCCTTACTAATTAACTGAATCAGATGTGTTAAACTTAGGTTGAAATAAAGCTCTGTAGTATATGTAGTATGTATGTCCAGGAAAAGTGGCTGGTGGCCACTGTACAAAACAATATGAAAGCATTAACCAGTTAGCATGCTTAACCAGTCATGCAAGCTTGTAACACATCATAGGTTCATCTTAAACACTATAATCCAATTAGTCTAAAAGTGCCACTGTGTTAGTATCAATATATCCTTTCAACAATTTTAACGTTTTTCCATTGATAATGTAGCCTGTAGTAGCCAAATAGTATGTGTTGTTAGACAGTTTAGAGGTTAATTGAACAAATATCAACAAAATATTTGTAGTGTTAGAATTGAAGATGGATAGTTAGTTGCAGGGGTCTTGGTAGGAATTTTGGGCCCCCAGAAAACTTAATGCATGGGCCCCTTGCCTCACCTCATTTCACCTAGCAGAACCTGTCAAAACATTAATACGTGCCAAACCTTTTATAACCCTACTCTTTATTTTGTAATAGTTCCATAATTCCATAATTCTTACTAAGCCTACAAGCTGTGAATATGAATATAAGAAACATAATAGCATATCAATATGCTGTATGCAACGGGCCAGAATTTTTAAATGCTTCCCAAAAGAGTGGCATCTTGGCTGTTAAATCAAAATCATTTTTGACCAGTATTGGAGAGACACATTATTTAAATGCTACTAAAATCTCCACAAAGAAGAATGCAGGATGCATTGCTGCTGACACTGTATCTAAAACTAGTCTTTAATTTTGTTAATGAAGCACTGAGCCATTTCAGTTAAAGCAGAAAAATATTCTGCGTAGTTCAATGATTAATATGTAAACAGTCCCTCAGAGCGGTTTGATGTGAAATGGTTGACACCGAGATTTCTTTACAGTGGTGTTACAGAACCAAAGAACCTGGTGAATGTGTCTTCTGAGTTTTCATGTGTGATGTTGATGTAATGTTGGTAAATCTGGAAAAAAAAATGTTTTCTTTGGGGACTTTGCTTTACAGCACCCTGCATGAACCTCTCTGCCATTAATAGATTTAAAAATAAGTTTTAGCCCAAGGGTTTATGTCAAAACTATCCTAAAACAGTGTTTCAGGCATCGGGCACTGTCTTTGTAAACATTTCATGTATCATCTTTCAGGGAGGGAGCATGAAACTCTTCAGATGTCTGGTTCCTATCATCACCACTGTGAACGATTCTGACTCAGTTAAGAGCAATTTACATCAGCCTGCTTATAATGACTTTGTTTACATCTTAACCAATAAATTATGCAGACATTTTTACAAGTTGGTGGATTTCCCCTTTAAAAGCCCTAAACATCACATGCAAAAAAAGGTAGGCCTACAATCACTGTGGGCCCATTATTTTTTTAGTACAAAGACATTACTCATGCTTAGTTTGTGTATACAGTATACTTTATGTTTTCTCTGAATAATTAATATCCAGAGATTTGTATATTTTCTTCCAAATACATGCAATAAATGTGATGAAATATAAAAGACAGCTATAAGAAACAAGGTAAAGCCTAGCTTTTGAGATCCTGTATGACTGTATGTATCTGTTTACTATCTATGAATTGTTAAAACATATCGTTTGTTCATGATACTTATCATACTGGTTATAACAATATGCATACACTCTCATATGTGCCAAATATTTATATTTAGCTGCCAAATGAGTAAACTCTGAAGTAGCAGTCCCTACTCAGGGCTTAGCAGAGTGATGTGATATTATATATAGTTAATTCACTGAACTTTCTTGGAAGTGCCAAAAACAGTTACACTTTATAAAAATGTAGTCTAATGAAGTTGATTGCTAATGTTATGTCTGGTTGCAGTATTGTTAAATATACAGAACGGGTTGTTTACTATGTATCAAATCTGAAAAAAATGGTGAAATATTTGATCATTATGTTTTTCCTCTTTTAAAAATCTCTATCCATAACAGCTGCCCTTGTTTTACTGATTCTGAACTGTAATAATTGTCATTAGTTTTATAGTTTAAATGTTTTAATTTACACTTGAATTTGGTGCATATTTCTTGTTCTTTTTTTAACCAGATATTTTAAACTAACTTTTATTGCTGCTTTTTGCTGCTTTGTTCCTTGAGAACTCAAACATATCTTAAAGTACCTAAAATAAACAGTTTTACCCTACATGTGTTCCCTGTCGCTTTACTGTGGTGTTATGCACCACATGATCAAAATACTAAATTAATTTTACAATAATTTTACAAATAAACATAAATTTGTCTTTATAAAACATATATTACTCCAATGTGCATCTTTGGCCAACAATTAGGGCGCCAGCTAAGAGGAAACTGAGCTTTATTACTCTACACTTTATTCTCTGTTGTGGTTAAAGGGGAGAAACATAGACTCAGAGGTCAAAACAAAACAAAGTCACAAGAGGATGAAGCGTAACATATAAAGCTTTATTTGTAATATTTGTTAAAACCTGCATTGTATTATTCATTGCAGCTTTGCAGGTTAACCTCTATACTTTGTCATTATTATGTCATTAAGCACATCAACTTATAAGTAGTTTATTTATGAAGAGCTTCATTCTGGAATACTGTAAATCCATTTGTAACAAGAGGTTTGGGGGAAAAGCACAGTTTTGTCCCAAAGTCTGAGAATACATTGAAATGTAGGATTTTTCCTAAATTGTTTTAGGAATGTCAAAAACAACAACAAAGTTTTAGAAATTAGAAAAATAGGAGAAATTTGAAGAATTATTCAAGATTCTTAACTATTTCTAGGTCACTATTTAAATTTAAGCAAATTTGTGACATTGACAATGTTTAGGGCTTTATAAGGTCAGATGTTTTTTAGTCTTATTTCTTTCATTGAAACACGTCAATCTTTCACAAGCAGTTATAAATTAAATACATAAATTAAAAGGGCAACAGTGACCTGTTGTTTGTCTAATAGTGAACCCACATTCATTTACACTGTTAAACCTCAGATCTTGCTGCTTACTTTGTCTCCTCCTTCAGTCAGCATTAAACTGTCTGCTTCATCAAATATTCATCTTCATTAGATCCAGCAGTTAACCTCTGCCCTTATTAATGCATTATTATTACTTTTTATTACTATTAATGTGTTAATAACTTTATTAATGATTTTAAGGTGTTAGTGATCTAACTAATAATGATTAATAAACTAATTTTACACCATTTATATAAACACTTTATAAAGATTATCTTATTTTAAAGTGGTACCAATATTTCCTGTATAGTTTCTTGGTCAAACAACATGTTCTGTTAATTTTATAGTGAAAATAAGTTAACAAAAAGTAGCAGAGAACCCACTTAAATATGGAAATTTTCTTCACATTTTAGTGCACAGTCTCTATTTATTTGCTGAATTTAACATATTGGAAAAAATAAAACATAACATATAAAATGCGCCATAACTTTTGCACAGTCCATACTTCAATTTTTATTTTTTTCTCACAATGTTATAGCAAATAAACAGTAATTGTGCTTTAAAATGTGCAGATGTGTGATCTCCGTAGAGGATGTGTTAATTTATTTTCACTTAGAACATCAATAAATTATGTAATTTGACCAGAGGTGCCCAAATTTTGCTTACAACAGCATACATTAAGCTCACTCTCAGCAATGTCTACCATGAAAAAATAATAAAATACATATGATGTTTTATTGGAACTAAACCATTTATATATTAATATGTCTCTAAAACTAAAACCTCATTGATAACATGACATTGTTAAGATTTTCAGAACACACACTGAAGCTGGTGAGTCAATGAGATGCCGCAACAATTTCGCTGAAGAGGAATAAAAATTGCCATTGTTTTGAGATTTCAGTTTAAAACAGATCAAGTAACACCCACTATTCTATCAAGAAACGCTCTACAGTAGAAGCGATAACAAGTCAAGTAAGAAGTGGACATCTGAAGAGGGCTGAAAATGACCAAGAGGTTCTGAGGGAGACACAGAGCTGGTTTGGAATATAGCACTGAATCAATGGAGGACCTGTTCCGAGCTGGAGCTGTGTCCGGCGTGGGCCTGCTGGAGGATGTGAGGGGGATGACAGGCTTCATTACCAGCAGAGCTGGGCTGTGTGGATGGGGTCCCTCAGGAGCCCTGCTGCTGGATGATGGGACAGTTTGCTGGAAAGGTCAAGAGCAGACAAATCAGCCTCGCAGAAACCATCTTAAACTGCCGCTGATAGAGCCAGGCCTGGAGATGTACTGCTTGTCTATATGGCTCATCTACCGTACAGAAATTGTACAGAAACTGCCTGCAATGTATACACATTACAAATCAAGCAGAAATGACTACAGTGTTCTTCAGTATTAAATGTAGAGGCTGGAAAGAGCAAATGTGATGTAGATTTTAGAAATATTAATCATCTGAATGAAGATGTTCCGTTAACACTTCCTCCACAGGTAACACAAATATTTTTCTGCTGATTTTAGTGCACAGTTTCTATTAATTTCCTGTGTTTAACATATTGGAAAACAAACTTTTGCACAGGACACACTTTATATTTTATTTTTTACGTTATGTTAAGTTTAGCAGATAAACAGCATATGTGCATTAAAATGTGAAGAAGTGTGTTCTCTGTAGAGGGCATGTTAACTTTTCACTTACATGATTTGAGAGAAGCCTCAAGCTTTCAGCTTTTCAAAGAAATCAACAGGGATGTTTTTCCACAC